AATCCCTAACGTTCTGTGATTCTGTGAACAATTATTGAAGCATGTGGACAGAGTCACCTAAACCAGCCATTTTTGAACAGTTAAATAATTCTAAGTACAACAAAACTACTCTTTAAAGGGATGCCACTTTTCAAATTCTCAGACTACACAACTGGAAGATGTTTCTTTTCTTAAATCACATCACCTTCTATTTTGCTGGGGAACATCCCTTTTTTCTTTCCCAACCTTTCAACTTTACTACTGCAGAGTCCAATATGCCAACCAGGACCAAGGCAACCAGGGAGAGGTTCAACTGCAGAGTAAAAGTTTATTAACAAAGTAAGATTTTCAGCTTGACAGCCAAGCTGTACCTAAAGGTTACTCTTTAGTTACACAATCTGCTTCCTACCTGCTCATACAGGTAGGCAGCCAGCCAAGTCCTAACATATGGCACAGAACAGGAGAGAAACTAAAACAAAGTGTTTCTGTAACCTACTCACATGAGCTTCTATAGGTCCAGTAAAGTTCAAACATAGAGATTTATCAAACTAGTCCACTAACAACAACTGGAGGTCTCTAACTGTCAAAAGCTAAACCTAAATTGAAATAATTTGGTAAGGAAAACAAGTGAAAAAGAAGGGAGGAGCAAAAGAAAGAAAAAGAAAGGAATGAATTTCAATATTGGCTCCACTAGCACCACTTCACTCTGCTTAACACTTGGTTACACGGCTTACCTTCAAAGTAGTGGTGCTTTTGTCAGATTTCTCCTTTCCCTCTTTTTCTTTACTACTTTTTTTCTTAGAGGTGGAACGTTCTCTTTCTCTTCTTTCATTTGTATCTCTTTCTCTTTTTTTTTCTTTCTTGTTTCTACTTAAGAAAATTTTTACTCAAATCAGAATTTGAACCAACACCAACAACCTTCAAAACATGTCACTGCAAGCTAAACTCTTCTGAGTTTTCAAAATAAAAAAAAAACCAAAACCTAAAAAGTAACAAAACCCCCTTCATAAAGGGGATTTTTTTAACTGAAGAAAGCTAAAGAATGCATGTGTGCAGTATGCATGGTATTTCCAAAGAGAAAACCAAATTAATCTATATCTGATGAAGGGCCTTTATTAATTTGAAACAAATTTGCATTGATGGTAGATTCAAAACTCTCTAGTTGAAAGCATACCAAAGCTAAAATCCATGATGCTTTTTGTTTTAAATTAAAACTGAATCATACTGACCAACTGAAATCATCTGATGATTAGTGCAAGGGAAGTAAAACAATGGAAATACTGTAAATTCTTCCTCCTTTACTGCTCATTAACTTTTATGTTTACATCAAACTGACCTTCTCGGAGAAGGAGTTTGTGAAGACTTTCTTTTTGTTGTTTTGGATGTTTTAGGAGACTTGGAGGGGCTTCTGCTCTTCCTTTTACGCCTTTCTCTGCAAGAGCAAGAAATTCAAGATTAAAGTATAAAAATAATAAACTCATGTGCCAGATAAAAACAAAGCTCTTTAAATTAACTGACACAATAACTAAGCAAATATCCTTGAATTTCACACTATGTCTCACCAATAGCATATCAACTGTAGAAATAAAAAGAGTTTTGTATGTTTCAGTTTGGCGGGAAAGAGGAGGCTAAGAGTGGGAGAAATAAGGAGGTTACACCCTTTCAAATTTTAGTTTTTTGTTTATCGTCTCATGCTTGTACTTACACCTGGTAACAATGGAAACACAATGAATCTACTAATCCTGTATTAAGAGTTTCTTCAGCCACAAAAATAATCCAATTGAATAAAGATCCACATTAAAACAAAAGGCATAACTTGAGCAATATAAACTTCAAAACATAACATTACAACCTAAAGATCACTGGAATTTCAGTTTGGGCTGACTGAAGTTTAATTCCTAAATACATGAGCTAGCATTCCTGTTGGTTTAGAAGCAAACAGTGCAAAATGAAGCTTAAGTTATTGTCAAAACCAGAATAAATAAGTTAGCATCTAGCAGTCCTTGCTCAGCAAACAGAATGTTACCATTCTTTAACACACTGAAGAGCTCATAGTATTTTACATAACAGCTGTTTTACATAGATATATGAAATTCATTGAAGTTGCTGTTATGAGGTCCGATCTTACATAGAAGAAAACAGTAAATAACTGGTTGTAAACATACTGAGGCACATGTTAGAGTAAAAACTCATTTAGAACATCTTCACATTTATCATTATCTTTTTCAATTGAGGATACTGGAAACTGATATACTGACAGTGCTCCCTCATTAGGGCTACACTGAGTATACTCCCACTTTATTTTGCTTTTCAGCAAACAATCTTTGCGTAACCAAGTGTCTTAGTAATTGTGTTCAAGCCAGAAAATGTTTCTTAATGAAATCTAATTCTCAGTTTCTGCTTTCCATATTTCAAGTTGAAGAACTACAATGGTGTCTCACACTATTCATTCCAATCTCCATCACATTTGTCTGTACATTTTTGTGCATCCGTGTTTTTAATGCTCTGAAGGAATTCTAATGCAGCAACATTTAAGAAAAAAACAAGTCTAAATACTTTGATAGTGATCCTTTGTCTCTTAATCATATACTGAACTAACATTCCCTACTTATCTCCTCTGCTAGCCTGTAATGTCTGTTGGAGAAGGAGCCAGAATTTTCTCTTCCTCCACCTAGCAGTCACACAGACATCTGATTTCTAGTACCTGCATGCTGTCTGTCAGTAAAGCAAGGTCAGTTGCCCCGTAGTTCCTAGTTCCTGTGCACTCTATTCCACCTCCACCTCTTCTCCAAACAGATGACTATTTCTCCAATATTTTACACTTGTGGGGTAAAGGATCAGCATCTTCAAAAACAGACCCAACTCTGTACTGCACTGTAAATTCAGGAGCTGAAATGCCAGTTTATTGGATAATCTTCTCCAGAAGGTTTGTAACTATTTCAACTAGGCAACATCAATCACTAAAGTAAACAGATACCCTTAACTGCAAGATAACGGGACTCTGTAGCCCAACCTACTCACAATTACTTTCCAGAGCAACAGAGTTACTGAGGTTGGAAGTGTCTTCCTAGATGAATCTCCCTCCCTGACCTTAAGACAGTGCTATATCCAGTATGATTTTTAATATCTCCACAGAGGAGACTCCATAATCTCTCAGGGTAATTGATTCCAATTAGCCCAGAAAAACCCCCACAATTTAACCATTAGAAAAAAGCCTTTATTTCCCTTATGTCAATATCTGCCTACTGCCTCTTAGCCTATCACTGGCCCCTACTGAGAAGTCTGGCTCTGTTTACTTCTCTCTCACATCAGGTATTCATATGCATTGCAAAGATGCTCCCTTAGCCTTTTCTTCTTCAGGCTAAGCAATCCCAGGTCCCTCACTCTCCTTGTATGACAGATGGTCCAAGCCCTTTATCAGCTTCACGGCCCTTCACTGGACTCACTCCATTATGCCTGTGTGTCTCTTACAAGAAATCAGGAACTGGACTAGATTCCAGATGTGGCCTGACCAGTGCTGAGGAAAGGATAAGAATAATCTTCCTTGATCTGCTCACAACACTCTGCCTAATGCAGCTCAGCACACTGCTAGCCTTCTTGGCTGCAAGGATCCCTAGATCCTTTTCCAGCCAGTCAGCCTTCATGCTGTACTGGTGCAACAGACTTATTCCAGCCCAGGTACAGGACTTGGCCATTCTTTGTTCAACTCCATGAGATGCCTGCCAGCCCATTTTCCCAGTCAGCTGAGGTTTCTCTGAACGACAGCATAATCCTCTGCTGTACTAGCCTCTCCCCTCAGTTCTGCATTGTCTGCAAACCTGCCAAGGGTGCACTCTGTCTCACTGTCTAGACCACTGATGAAGACATTCAACGGTACTGGCCCCAGTAAACAAGGTATCCTTATCTTCCCACTAAGATACATTCACCTTTGGAATGGCTAGGCAGCCAAGTGACGTGCTTGCTTCCCGACGTTCAGCCATCCAGCTGAAAAATGCCAAGTACTACAGACCAACATTATAATGTAGTAACCAAGGAACTACATAACAGTGATTCAGACTTTCATCAGGACAAAGATGATGTGTGATATCACTTTATCAGAACTTTTGGATGGTTCAAACACAGAGAAATGGCACAAAAATCATTTAGTCACTGTCCTCAGGAACTATACTATATGTTATGTGAAAGGTAAACAGCAGCTGTCCAACAAAAAACTATATTATAACGGGCATCATACAGAGCTCTTTGTAATTCATTTTACTTTATATGAAAATCTATAAAACAGAAATAATACAAATTTTATAAGAGATATGGTGATATTGATACATAAAAACTAGGATGTTGCCTCACTGAGCTGACAAGTCAGGAAAAGCACAAGAAAATTCTAAACAAACCTGCTGGAGCTACGAGATCTTCTTGAAGAGCTATAGCTTCTTGGAGGTGTTCTGGATCTCTTCTCTTTCTTCTTTTTATCATCTCTCTCTTTTTCTCGCTCCTTCTCTTTATCCCCATCTCTTTCCTTTTCTTTGCCTCTGTCTTTCTCTTTGTCCCCTCCTTTGTCCTTATCTCCCTCCTTGTCCTTCATTTTCTCCCTCTCCTTCTCTACTTCTTTCTCAGTATCTTCCTTGTTCTGGTCTACCTCTTCCCTGTCTTCTTCCTTCTCCTTTTCCCTGTCCTTGTCCCCATCTTTGTCCTTATCCTTGTCTCTATCCCTGTCTTTGTCTCCGACTCTCTCCCGATCTTTGTTTCGCTCTCTCTCTCTCTCCCTGTCCTTCTCCTTGTTTCTGTCTTTATCACGCTCTCTTTCCTTGACTTTGTCTCTCTCCTTGTCCTTGTCTCGGTCTCTCTCTTTCTCCTTTTCTTTGGCTTTTTCTTTTTCCTTGACCTTTTCTTTGTCTCTTTTCTTGTCCCTGTGAGAAGCCAAACACAAGCCCATTAATTCATGTTTGAACCTTCCAATTAAGATTACAACTAACTCTTTAGTTTACAATTAATTGCTCAAGATAAATTATGTGTCTGTTGAAAAACCGTAATTATTCAATATTTTAATTTTCCACCCCTGCTCACCATGAGGTAAAGGCTATATAGCTAGGAAAAATCTGGAAATCAAACTGGAGAAGGGAAGGCCAAAATCAAATCAAACTGTGATCTTCAGAGTGATGTTATTACACTTTGAGAGTGTCTCTTCACAGTTATATTATTCCACATACATAAATTTTCTACATTTTGTCAAGAGTGAGACAAACTCTGCAATTTGTAAGTCTACTCTTTACTAAAAGTGTCTCCATTTCACATTAATAGCTCCACATGAATAATGACAGCTGACTGACAGAAGTCTTTATTCTACAGTGTTTTCTCACACAGATAGTCTGGAACTGCCTGAAGTCCAACAATTAATACAGAGGAATAAAAAACCAGGGCTAAAATTTCAAACAAATTCCCTCAAAAGGCAAATGTAAGGTCAAAACTCAATCAAGAGCATTCAATCATCCGTAATACCATTAGGAATGCAGAAATTATTGAAAAATTGTTAATACAGTAAGAACAGAAACAAGAATAACAGAACATGTCAGCTTCTTCGGGACAGACAGAATTAGCTATGTTCATAAAAAGAAAAACAGTGAGGAAAATTTCCAACTGATGTTCTAGTTGTCAAGCCAAACAAAACCTGTTTAGATCACAGCTTTAGCTGGAAGATTACATTTTGGTATAGGATTATGTGGAAGTGCAAGACTCCATCTTTTCTTTCTGGTGGAGATATACTCAAATCCTAGACCTGCCTCTAGGACACATGAAAATGAACAACTGTTCAGAGAGAGAACAGGAGAAAGCACAAGAGGAAGAGTTGGTTATCAGTCCTTTACATGCCCAAGAGAACCAGACTAACAGAAGTTGCTGTGTCTATTGGTATTGGTACCTATTCCAGGATTTCTAGAGAATCTCAAGAGACCCCTTCATGCATGAAAGGTCATAAGCACAGCTCGCACCTTTCTTCAACAGAAGTGTGTTTGGCTGTGTGACCTTCTCAACTGCTAAAAAAAAAAAAAAGAAAAAAAAAAAGAGTATGCTGCTGTACGCTCTGTGACCTGACAACTTGGGTTCCCATCAGGTTTTGGCAGATACTTCTGAAGAAGTCTCACAGAAGGAATGTAACATCATGAAAGTGAAACATCCCTACAATAGCAAAGAGTCTCATGATGTTCCAAGTGCCTTCCAGTTAATTTATCACAGAGATTTTATTGGACTTGACCCTTCCAGTGAGCAGGTATCTCAAGAAGCTCCAGATAACAGCAACAGAGAACCAAAAGCATTCATCAATAAAGCCCAGCTAGCTACAGTCTATTCCTGCTTCCACTGTGTTCCACAGATTTGCAGTTTTCTCTCCCACAAAACTTCTTCCCTCAAATAACAAAAGTCAGCTACACAACTTAAGTATGAAGCTTCCTTTAAGCTAATCAAGAGATTACAGAGATGAAACAGAAAGAAAAGTTGGTACTAAGACTTCTATTCATGAAGCTACTTTCACAGGCACTTTTGTTTTGTGAATATTCCCTACCTCATCTCTCAGAAAATTATGTTATCTTGTTGGTATTTCACAGTTCAATAATTAGACTATCAGACTTAAAAATTAATAGACTACATAAAACACAAGTGTTTTAGATCCTGAAATGCAAATATGCCATGCAGCAGACACATGCATTTGCACCCACAGAAGTGTATGTCAAATATGAGATAGCCAAAGGCAAAAATACAAGCTTATGCACAAAAACTTTATACATGTTCTCAGAATGTGGGATCAAGTTCAGCCTGAATCCAACCTTCTCAAAAAATACAGGTTAAACGTGCATCATCCCCATTTTTGTGTGTTGCACAGGCTACACAGAACATGACTAGTCTTTGGTTAAAGTCTGGCAATTACAGCTACATATTTTCAGTCAGCTTGTATCTTGGTATTATGTGGACTAGACTTTGATATTAAACTTTAGGTACCTCAGTGTGGTAGTTTAACTCCCTGTAGGCATCATGTAAGTTATTATGAATAAAATTAACTCTATCCCAGTCAAAACCAGTACACTCAGCATTAAAATTTTCTTTCTGTTCTTTTATACCACACACAAAGCCTAGGACAGGCTAAAGCATTTAGGAGATTTCATCCTTTACCTAAAGATTTGTTAAGATTTTTTCAAAAACTTTGTACTGTGTCCTATAAAAGGACAGTATAGTTTCTTAGGAATGGAACTCACCGAGAATGAGAGCGACTTCGTGATTTCCACCTTTCCCTAGATCTAGACCGTTTCTTCAGGGGACTTCTGGATCTGCGTCTGTCTTTGTGTCTTGAGAGTGACCTGTTGCCAGATCTACTTCTATATGAATAATGCCAGAAGAAAAATACTTCAATGTTGAAACTTCATAAAGATTAGCTCAATGAACAAAAGGAAAAAAACACCATAAATCTTGCTTCACTTCATAAAGTTATGTAGATTATATAAGGAGTTACACCTCAGTAAGATATTGCCTACCAACATTTTTGCAAATACCGATACTTTATGCTTCACCAGGTGCACGTGCCCTCCTTTGAAAAAATGCATCATTTAAATTATAGACATCGTTCAAAATAATCTCCATGAATGTTCTGGAAAATGCAATTTCATATCATATTAGGAAACTATTGACAATTTCTAGCAGCTTGTAAAAATAATCAGCTACATTCTGTTTCTTTTCCAGGCCTGGTCATTTATTGCAGTCTCAGTCACTGAAGAAAGATGCCTTTAATGGTCTCTTTTTGCTTTGTTCTCCAGCCTTACTATTTAAATAAGCTTTTAAAAAAAAAAAAAAAAGACCAAAGCAAAACTACAAAAAACCTCACTGTCTGTGGTACTGCATTTAGCCAAGTTACCTTTTCAGTTGAAAGTATTTGTTATCATGGATATAAATTATAAGAATTCTCAAGGAAAGAAATGAGCATTTACTACATGATAAATAAGGAATGCAAACAATGTACAGCTACTCTGACAAAAATCCAGTTAAATTCTTCAGGAAAGCATATATACTATAGTCACAGATTTGATGAAGAAAACAAGGTTTCTAAAAATTACTGTATTTTTTTCCTCCAAAATCTGCCTTATTTCTGGAAGGCCATACTCCCTAGGAAAGCAAAAATTAAAAGCTGAATTTGAACACGAAGTTTCAAAAAAAACCACATAATTTGATACTTTGCTTAAGAGGTTAAAGTACCATTAAGTTTAAATTACCAATGACAGAAAGGCCATGTATATTACTCAATCCTGAAGAACAGGGAGGTACAAAAAGTATCAGCTCCACCTGTCTTCTGCAGCTCAAGACACGCAGTAATACATACCAAGAGGACAGGAGAGGCAACCATTTTTACTTACAGCTGTGCTGAACTTACTGGGCAGAAATACAAACTAACTACAGGGCAGATTAATTACAGTTCAGTCAAAGTAAGATCTTGAATAAATTTTGTATCAGAGATGAAAACAATCTAAGTGTTTTATTAAACAGTACAGCAGAAAAGTGGTAAGCATAGTTTGGTCTTCGGGATGAATTTGCCTCAACAGATCAGACTGGCCTTTTTTCAGCATGTTCTCAAAACTGACAGTAGCACTGGTATCATTTAAAAACAAAACAAAACAAAACAAAAACTACCCAAACCATCAACAGTTGTTTAAAGCATAGGTTTTCCACAAGAAAAAAAAAACTAGTTTATCTTCTAAAAACCAATTTGATCTCTGCCAGTACAAAAGATTATTGAGATTACTGCAGCATTACACAAAACATGGATTGCTCTTCAATTATGTCATAAGTTAGAGAAACAGTAGAGAAGAAAGCAATAATGAAGTTACCAAATTATTCTTCTTGCATTAAAAAGGTACCTAAAATTTTGATGTCATTAGGTAACAGGTACCGTGGTGTCTCACTATTGCGAAACCGAAGCCTGCACTTATAACATATCTGTTTGGTAGTATAATTGGTGATAACTCCCTCTGCACAGCTTTTCTGTATCTAAAAAAATTCTAGCTGCCTTGTTAAAGGATGATGCATGAAATGATGCAAGCAAGAGCTGTTGCTGCAACAGTGGTAACACTCACCTTAAAAAATAAAAGCATAAGCTATCAAGTACACTCTGATTTTTTTTTAATATTTAATGTAGCCAAGTACCTTTAGATTGATTACATAAATGCTCAAAAGACATTCCTGACATTGAAAGAATTTGAAGCCATTTCAGGAAGCATTTGTGTATCTCCCATAGCAAGACTGTCTCACTCTTGGAAAAAATCTTAACGAGTATGCTTTAAGGATGATCTAGTAATTTTATTTCCTCCCATATTCCGAAGCCTGTTAGAGAACCGAACGAATTTACTAATGCAAACAAAACCGGAAGAATGAAAAACTTCCCCCAAAGCCTTTCTTTTGTTTTTAAAAACCATAACTTTACATTTACAGTACAGTAAATAACAATATTGCATTCATTAACAATAGGAACTTTCTACTAGCAAAATCAGCCAGGCTATCTGCTCAGGGTGTTAACAATAAGCTACATGTTCAATCCACAAAATACAGGCAACTATTTATATTTACAGATCTCAAAATGATATTATGCTACATGGCACAAGATGTACCATGAAACCATAGAAATGGTTATTCTACATGGTACAAAAATACCTTCTAGTGTGATTAATGAAAGTAATCTTGAAAACGTTCAGCATCTAGAGGGAAAGAATACCTGTTCAGAGACAAAGTTCCTTGTTATGCTGATCTGCTCAGTTTAAGCCAGTAATCTTCTATACAGGGATACTTGTCTTTTAACTCAGTAAAAAATCTCAGTAACCACCACCACTCAAAAAACTCCAATGTGATGTCTAAGTCCAAAATAAAAACCATACCTACCTGTGTTTTGAGTGTGATCTTTTCCGTCTAGATCGGGATTTTGAACTAGACCTGGATTCTGAACGAGAATGGGAACGAGACCGACCACCTTTTCTTTCACTGCTCTTTCCAGACTCTGAGAGGAAAAAAACACTATGCAGTGTAAGCTCAGAACATTTAAAGATCCCAGTTAACAATATGACACAAATGAAATGTATCACATATAGTGCAAGGGCCTACTCTTTGCACATCTTCCTTCTTTTCAAATATCCTTCAGAAACGTCTAAGACAGTCATTGCATATACTTGTTGAGTGCAGCCAGCCTGCAGCAGTACACATAAACCAGATAATTATAAACAGCTAGCTCTGTTAGGAATGGGATTTATGTTGCTGCCACAATGCACAAGATCACAACATGTTCTCCTCTTGGTCTATTTAATATAATTAGTTTCTTTTTAAAAAAAAATAACTTAAGACTAAATTTAGAGGACATAATTTGAAAACAAGCATAAAATGTAAATAATTAGTACTTTTTATACTTTCAGATATTTCAACCACTGTACAAATATTGACGTTTTATTGTTTTGCAGGAGGAAGGGATGCAGACAACAGGTGAAAAGTTTGATCCAAAGGCCAGGAAGTCAACAGAAACCTTAACAGTGACCTCACTTAGACTTCGGTTCAGACTGTGAAAGAGAAACACTAGAGCTATTCTTCTTTCAACCCTAAAAGAACCCCAGAAAATACTTACCCACCTTCTCCCCAAAAAAACCACTTCAGACTCTGCACTCACTAACCTACATCTGGTATTGTCAGTATGAAGAATGACAAAATCTTGCTTGTGAAAAGAAGGAGGATCTCAACTGCAAGTTTAACAAGTTGAGAAATTTTTTATGCTGTGGTTTTGTGATCAGTTTTAAGTCAGCATAAATCAACACTGAAATGTCTGTCTAACCTCTCAATCCACCAACACCTTCCTCCTTGACCTGGCATTTCAGTGTTAACAGGGATCAGGGAACCAATCCGGATGGAAAAGTCCTTTACAATACGTTAGGTTTCATCCTAGATTCATTCTCTGATCCCATCTGCTATGAGGATGCACACAGTCTTGAGCCAGCATGAAAAAAAGAGCATAGTACATGCACAAAAATCGACCCACTTCAGATAACGAAAGCATAGAATTACTGCTTTCAGAACCACGCTAGCTCCCTTTGGTCACAGAACTACAGCACTAATGAGTGCCAGAGGAGAACAAAACAAAATATAAAGCATTTTCTTTTAAAAGTTTGTAAGTACTTCAATCTTAAAAGCATTAAGTATTAATTTAGTATTAACTTTGTTTTCAGAAATACATTTGGTGAGCATGTATAGAAAACAAGACAACAAAATAGTCAGCTTCATTCCACTGCTTTGTTGCATGAACACAATTTTGACTATTTTTTTTTCCCCAATACATATTGTTCACCTTTAAGTACCCTTTTCCTGTAATTGAAAATGCTCTTTAAAGCATGTGACAAGGTACAAACAGAAAACATCTGTTAGATAATGAGCATAATACACTCACCTGGCTCAATAGCAGCCGATATGAAGGACTGGGCTTCCCTTACTCTTTTCATCACTTCTTCCAGTTCCTTGGCAGCAGCTTGTGGTGTCATTTCAGGAGGCTTCACTATTGCATTGTTGGAGTGATTTATTCTAAATTAAGAAAAAATAAAACCTTTAACTCCCAAACACTTGAAAAAGGAAAACACCTCAAGTTCCCTGTATGACTAAAGACCTTAAAAGATCAGCAAAACTACAGATTTGTCCTAACACTCACCTTTTCCAGATATCTGAAAAGCCTTTTATTGCTTACAAATCTTACCACTTTTAAATAAGTGTAGCACAATATTTCTGTGTTAAAATATTTTCTAGAAGTCTAATAATCTATTTCTCTATTTCAGATCAAATTTCTACGTTAAGGCCTACTAATTCCATACACTTCATATAGAAAGCTTAATTAGTACTAAAGATTTTACAGCTTATATCTCTATTATAGCTTTCACTACCAGAAGACTAAATACAAATAGATTTTACTCTATGCCATCCAGATTCTTCTCTGAGAAAGTTATGCCCAACCTTAAAATTGGAGTTTATAAAGATGTTCCAGTTTGCTAACAATAGGTCCTTACATTGAAAAAATACTCATCACAGCAGTTTTCTGCACATCAGAGTCATAAATGTGTAAGGATACAAAGAAATACATCATTAATTAGTCACATGGTTAATTAATTTCTTACTTCAGTGGCCTGTCTCCAAACATAACTCCATTAAAGGCAAGAGCTCGAGGTACAGAATTTTGGTCTGCAAATTCCACAAAAGCAAATCGTGTTGGTTGTGTCTCATCACCTGCCATTCGCACAAATTTGACTTCTCCAACTTGCTTAAAGAATTCAAGCAGCTGATCTGCTGTTGTAGTCTAGAAACAGTCAAAGAGCTCCGCTGAAGTTAAATATACAATGAAAATCACTTATCCAATATATCAGGTAATCTAAGAGCTACAGATTTTGGAATTATGGTAATGCTACACCTTAAGAAAGACAGGTATTTTTAATTCCATTAATCTAAAGAATATATTACAATTTGAAATAGTGAAATATTAACCACAAATTCTGAAGTCCCTCATTTAGGTTAAAAAAGCATTTGCACAGGATTTTTCACTTTTCAGGCAACTCATTTGAAATAGCTGATGAGGAATTTCATTATACACCTGTGTCCAAGCTATCAAAAGTGAATTTTGACCAATTAAAAAAAAATCCAAATAATTTTACAAGACTTAGACTTCAACTGTTTTTCTACTTGCTTCCAGTATGTTTCATTTTATTGCAATCAATAGTACTTTTACACTACAGTAACTACTTTGGCAGTCAGAAAGAAAAAAAACCCAAACAACCTTATAATGCCATCAGTAAAAAGCAACTGTTTTTCAATTATTTTAATCAGTTGCTGAAAAAAAACTCATTTCTGACAGACCCAACTTTCCTGTTATAGAAGCTCAAAGGTATTTACTCTAATTTTGTAACTACAACTAGGACACATCATTTCATCTTACTGTTCTTCAACCGTGCAACTGCACAGTGTTGTGGGGGCAGCTACCATGATCTCACAACTTCTGAGACATTGCTCAGTTAACACAATCTATCATAAGTATGATACCAACATACACACACACCATCGTAAGTATGTTTCCTGAATTCAAATACAGTGTGATTTCTCTGGTACCTGCCAGAATTAACTCCAGTCTGGTCTGATCTGATTGACACAGGAGCATTCAAGATTCAAAACATCACAAGTAACCAAAAAGAATTTTTGTTGAAATTCCTACTGTCATCAACTAATGAAGTCTTAACATGGAGGATTAGAATTCATAAATTACAATTCTATACCTTTCATTAGCATTTCCATTACACAAAAACAACCTACCTGGGAATTTAAGTTTCCAACGTAAACTGTTCTCCTGATTTCATCAATTTTGGATGGGTCCACATTCCCCATAATTGGTGGTTGCGGTATTTCTCCCAGTGCTGTAATGTTAGGGTCCAGTGCTGCTGCTGGTATAGCCCCCAAAGTGCCAAGTGAAACACCAAGCTGGAAAACACAAACAAGATATGCTTTGCAATCAAGCACTGATGGAAGATACTTTACTTGTTAATACTTACCTGTCTTATGCCTTTCTGTAAAAATAAATCTAATTCATGTAGGAAATATTTTAACCTTTAATGTCCTAGTTGAGCACTTTTCTAAAGAATAAAAATATACCTATAAACAACCTTCTATTGTTAAGACTTTCTGTGGGTTACCAGCTAACATCCCATCAAGGAGGTCTGGCCAGTGATGCAGTATATCAATCAAAAAACCATACAGGCTTGAATTTCTAATCTTTACAGTCAATCAAATTGAGTAAGATGCCTTCAGACACTGCTAATACTTTTTTTTTTTTGACACAACAAGTATTAGGAGTAGATGAGGAACTGCAAATAAGAGAATCTGCAGTGCCCAGGACCAATCTGTTCTGCAACAGGTATCAATCCATCAAAGGGACAGTTAAGGTACCTGTTGAACAACATCATGTAAGGCAAGATTAAATACAGCTGACATGCAAAAAAAAAAACCAAACAACCAAAGTCTGAT